GTGGCAGGGTCTGCAGCTGGGTTTACTCCAGGTTCTTCCAGCCACCCATGAAAGAATCCAAAGTGGAGGCATAAAGATGTGCGGGGAAAGAGGAGTTATTCAAACCAAAGGAAAGGTGAAGGCCAGCAGGAGAGAAAGAGAGAATGAATAAAAGCCCAAAACACAAAAAGACCCCAAGCAGAATTCAGGCTGTCCTTTCATATTATCAAGAAGCATGAGTGTGGTGTCTGGAGTGGGGTTTAACTGAATATTCAAAAGGGGATGGAGCTTGGGACTGCATTCGAGTTCTGCACATTTTCATGCCTGTTTTTCAGGAACATCAGAAGTGCCATGAGTCAGGTGTATTAGGAAGTGGGGATGCCTCCCCTGGCGCCTTTAGTATAATGACGTTATAAAGACACAGGGACATATCCTGCAGCCATGTTGGATAGGTACAACTAGCAATTGTTCTGCATTTGCAACACTGGGAAGTCTGGAGGTTCTGCTACACAGAAAAAACAAACAAACAAACAAAACAATGTGGGAAGAGGGTGTCCAGAGGCAGGTTTGTATGGTGCACAGGGAGGGAGTGTTGGATGGTGCAGACCCGACTTTCAGGTAGGGGTGGGGCACAGCTGCTGTCATATGGCAGATTGTGCCATTGGAGCTGTCAAATGGTGGCCCGCATTGCAAATGGGTTGGCTGGAACTGTCGAACTGTTATTGTTAATCTATCTGCTGCCTACCTAGTACCTGCCTGCTGCAGGACTACCTAGCTGTGCATACCAGAAATACCTGATGTTTTAAGTGAGAAGGCCAAAAAGTCATCAACACATGCTGCTCCATCTTCATCTCAAAGAACCCTGGTATGCTCATGGCCCCCCATTTCCTAACTGAACAATTACTTAGTTTATTTTCAATAAGGTTTGTTTCCACTCACTGTGGAATTTCACAGTAACTCCTGGTGTCAGAGCCCTGTGGGGTAGCGACTGAGGTCAGAGACTCTGGAACCAGTGCTACCAGTGTGTGTTCTGGTCCTGCCATGCAATGTGTGATTCAGAAGTTCCTATCTGTGGCTCAGTTTCGTCATCTGTAAGATGGGGATGCTGAGAAAGTCTGCTCCACATGGTTCTTAAGAAACATTTGAAGCTGGCGCCGCGGCTCACTAGGCTAATCCTCTGCCTGCGGCGCCGGCACCCCAGGTTCTAGTCCCGGTTGGGGCGCCGGTTCTGTCCTGGTTGCTCCTCTTCCAGTCCAGCTCTCTGCTGTGGCCCCGGAGTGCAGTGGAGGATGGCCCAAGTGCTTGGGCCCTGCACCTGCATGGGAGACCAGGAGGAAGCACCTGGCTCCTGGCTTCAGATCAGTGCAGCGCACCGTCTATAGCGACCATTTGGAGAGTGAACCAATGGAAGGAAGAGCTTTCTCTCTGTCTCTCTCTCTCTCTCACTGTCTAACTCTGCCTGTCAGAAAAAAAAAAAAAAGAAAGAAAGAAACATTTGAAACGGTCCTAGGCACAGAAGACAGTAAATACCCAAAAAGCATTTGTCAGTCTTTATGCTATTATTGGGAGTTCTGGTACTCATCAAAAGCATTTCACAAATGCCATGATACTTTCAGAAGCATGGTTTATCCTCTGGATAATCATTTGTGATCACAAGTTATTAAAGGAGAGTTTTTGAAACTTAATTCAAGTACTGTAAGTTGAATTACTTTAAACTATCACACATATCAGTTAGAATCCAATCATGGAAACAGAACACTGTGTGCAGCGGTGTGTGTGTGTGTGTGTGTGTGTTGAAAGCAGAGAGAGATTTGTCACAGGGATTAGGCTCGATGCTATCGTGGGACCTGAGTCAGCAGTTCTGTGTCTGTTGTCTTTCCCTCTGATGCTGGAGGCTGAGGCCACGGAGCAGGCTGACAGGCAGGGAAGAGAGAGTGAGCAGGGAGAGCGAGGGCAGACAGCAGCCTGCAACCCGGGGGGTGCAAGTGCAAAGGCCAGCTGACCTCCGACCTGGACAGCTGCTCTCCAGCAGGGAGTGGAGTGGGGGAGGGCCCTTGGGCCTGGAACTAAGCAACCCAGGGCCCAGGGGTCAGGCAAAGTAAAGGGGCTTCAGGAGAATGTGGGCATTGCTGCCCAGCGCAGCAAGTGGTGGCATCACGCAGGAGTTACGGAAGGACAGCTGCTCACTTTGCCCTCCAGTCATCCCACCCCAGTTGGAAGCGGCCAGAAGAGGAATTCCGGAAAATGGATGATTGCTGACAAGTGACAAAGTCATCAAGTTGTTATTACCACATACATTTATTAAACTGATATTACATATGCAGCATTGACCCCGCTGCTTTACATTCATTTTTTAAAAATGAACATCTTTTAATTAAATTTCCATGAATTTTTGCATTTTTAGTTGCTTGATAAGCAGAGAGAGAGAGGCAGGGAGGGAGGGAGGGAGGGAGGGAAGATGGACAGGAGGGAAGGTGAGCGAGATTGGAGGGGGAAAAACAGAGAGAGAGAGAGACTGAGAGATTTCTTCCATTCTCTGGTTTACTTCCCAAATGGCTGCAGCTGCCAGACCTGGTTCAGGTCAAAGCCAGGAGCCCAGAATTCCATCCAGGTCTCCTATTTGCATTGCAGGGACCCAAGCACTGTTACCCAGGTACATCAGCAGGTGCCTTGGTTGGAAGCAGAACAAAACCAGGAACCAATGCCAGGAAAGCATTGCCAGTGTTGCAAGTGGTGGCTTCTCTCTCTGTGTCACAAAGCAAGCTCCTATATTCCTTATTTCATCTATTTTTTTAAAGATTTATTTATTTTACTTGAAAGTCAGAGTTACACAGAGAGAGAAGGAGAGGGAAAGAGAGAGAGAGAGAGAGAGAGAGAGAGAGAGGACTTCCATCCGCTTGTTAACTCTCCAGATGGCCACAACAGACAGAGTTGTCAGATCCAAAGCCAGGAGCCAGGAGCTTCTTTTTCCGGGTCTCCCATAACGGGTGCAGGGACCCAAGGGCTCGGACCATCTTCTACTGCTTTCCCAGGCCACAGCAGAGAGCTGCATAGGAAGTGGAGCAGCTGGGACTCAAATGGGCGCCCATATGGGATGCCACACTGCAGGTGGCAGCTTTACCCACTATGCCACAGCGCTGGCCCCTATTTCATCTATTTTTGCCACAGCCCCTAAGGCTATCCATCAATCCTGGATGAGGAAACTAACAGTAGGAGTCCTGTCCTGAGTGACCTGGCCAAGGTCAGTTGTATAAGACTTAATCATAAACATGAAATATACAGGTAAGTTTTGGAATTAGTGGCTGCATTAACTGATTTTCCATGTCATTAGACTTTCCAAAAGAGCTTCACTAATCATTGCAATAGATAATCATCTTGCAGTTTCTATCCTTGCTCGTGTTAAAAATAACAGGGCAAGATAGGCCTAAAGGATTGATGTACCTAATAATAACATACACTCTTAGAATCTTGTGGAAATGAAAATGAAACAATTTTAGGTACTACATACATATAAATATTATTCTCTCAAAAATTAATTAGATAGCATCAAATGGAATGATCCCTTAGGCCCAGTTTATTTCATTTCAAACGCTATAAATTAACTTTAGTTATATGGTTGCCATAACTAGTTTATTATTATCTTATAAGTGGGTACATCCTTTGCCCCAGTGCACATTAAATTTCCTAAGAATTTCAATGGGAATCTTTATTGTCTCTTAGTTTAATTAATATCTGTTAAACTGAGATCCCTGCAGTCATGAAATGCCACACGCACAGGCAAAATCCTGGCTTACTAGTTAAAAGCTGGTTATAAAGAAAATACAGATGATTGCTAAGTAAGATCTAGATCCTTCTGCAGGTAGTAGCTAGAAACTCAATACATAGTGCAGAAAGCGGTGAGTGAATGTCACTAGAAAGTAAATGCACGCAAGCAAATTCTTACAGGAAATTCACGTCCATGGGGGAGGAGTTCTAAGAGTGAATTTCCATTTTCATCTTTCCTGCCTGGGAACAGGTGCAGTCAGTAAGGATTCAGTGATGTGGGGGAACTGGAGGTCAAGCTGCAGTCTTTCTGTCCTGGGAAAAGACTGGGTCTCAGAAACCATGATCTCAGGGAGAAAGCAAGGGCCTGTAAAGGAAAGGGATTAGGAAGAGAATCTCCAAATGCTGTTTGTTCTTCTCAGTGAGTCTTGAACCACACATGGCACAGCGGGCTCAGAGCAGCTCTGCCAAGGACAAGGACAAATGTTATGAGCTGGCTTTGGAAATACTACACAGGAAATTGAGTTTTCTCAATTTTATTTCTAATATAAACAAAGAAAATTGCTTGCCAAAAACAAAGTAACATTTATCAGAGAAGAGCATCAGACTCCAGACTCCATTACTTAACATCTAGTATTCAGGATGTTGCACCCTTATCTGATAAATGAAGAACCAGGAAAATGGAACCTTATTAAAAAAAAATAAAACAAAACTGCTTGTAAAATAATCCAAGCATCAGACTGAGCAGATGAGGGTTTTTAGAGACATCACTTGACTCCCTGCAATGAAGTTAGAAAAATGCTCAAAATGAATGAAAGCGTAGGAAATTACAACAGAGAAACTGAATCAACAAAAAGAACCAAATGTAAATTCTAAAGCTAAATAATATAAGATCTGAAATTAAAAAACTATCAGGTAGGTTTAAGAGCACGGAGAACAGAATGTGCCACTTCAGAATATGCCTCTGGCATTGAATTATTGAGCAATCAAAAGTAGCAGGTATTGGAAAGCCCTCCTTCTACTGACCCAAATGCAAGATGTACATTTTAAAAGGCAAAAATGATATCTTGCTTCCCTTCTCTACCAGGGAGAGCAACGGGTGACCATTGAAGACAACTTTAGACCCCGTGGGCCTGGAGACAGCACCAGAGGAATCCACCACTCATTTGTCTTCCCAGTGTTTATTCCAAAGTCTTTGCCTTTGTTACATCAGTTCTCCAAAAAAAAAAAAAAAAAAAAAAAAAAAATCACTCTTCTTTGTTGAAGATGACCTCAAAGCTGAAATCCAAAGCTTCCTCTTTAATAATTACTTAGTCTCTATATTATCTCTCAGATGAAATATAGATGTTAAGCTTTTGTTTGTTTTTCTTTAAAAAAATGCAAAACAGGGCCATGTTCCACTAAGAACATACAGGAGTTAAGGAAAAATTATTTTTTCTCCCCTATAGGAGCAAAGTAGTAATGACAGAGGAAAGGTCAAATGAACCTGAAGATAGTTCATTAGAAATTATTCAGAATAAATCAGAGAGAAAAAAGATTCAAAAATGGACAGAACTTCAAAAACCTGGGAGGTTATATTAAGTAGTATAACATACATGTTATACATGGAATCCCATAAAAAGTAAGAGAGAGAAGTAAGCAACATTTAAATATTTCAACATTTTAAACAATGGCCAAATATTCCCAAATTCATTAATGAAATATATACATCTTAAAGTTAAATATGATCAAGAACACAAAGCCGGGAAAACACAAACATAACACAAGCATATGATCTCTGCATCATAAACATCTGAAAGCTAAATATGAAGCATCAAATTTGAAAAAGCAGGAGCAAAGTAATAGAGTTCATGCAAGGGAATGATCCACTGATTTACAAGTTGCTTCTCATTAGAAACTATGGAGACTAGGAAAGAATGTAAAAGCGTCTTTAATATACCGAAAAGGAGGACAGGTGTGGTGGGGTGGTGGTTAAGTTCCTACGTGGGATGCCTGCATCTTGCATCATAGTGTCTGAGCTGAGTACTTGCTATTCCACTCCAGATCCAACTTACTGGCTGTCACAGGAGGCTGGGCTGGCCAAAGCCAGAAGCCAGAAGCTTATTATGCATCTCCCACATGGGTGCAGGGGTCCAAAGACTTGGGCCATCCTCTGCTGCTTCCCCAGGTGCATTAGCAAGGAGATGAATTGGAAGTGGAGCAGGTGGGACTCGAATGGGCATCTAAATAGGATGATGATAGGCAGTGGCTTAACCCCCTATGCCACAATGCTGGCCCCAATCAGTTATTTTTAATGGTATAAAGTGTCATCAAATTAACATTTGACCATATTATTCACTGACTTACAATTCTTTGTTGGATTGGCATACGTAATGTTTTAGCAGGATTCCCCACAGGGACAGAAACAACAGCATATAAACAGGGAGATGAAAGAGATTTATAAGGAGAATTGGCTCATTTGATCACAGAGGCTGAGAGTTCCTCTAGAATCCATCTGCCAGCTGGGACCCAAGGAAGCTAGTAGCAGGGCTGAGCCCAAGTCTAAAGGCCTCAGAACCAAGGAAGCAAATGGGCAACTCTCCATCCATTGCCTAAGTCCCAAGAGGCTCAGAGCCCAATGGTGTGAGTCCCAGAGTCCAAAACCTGGAAAACCTGGAGTTCTAATCACAAGGGCAGGTGAAGGAAACCAGAGGGGCAGAATCCACCTTTCCTCTTCCTTTAGTCCTGCTGGGTCCGCGGCTGACCGGGTGATGCCCATCACACTTAGGGCAGACTCCCTCTTTCTGTCCCCAAACATCAGTCTCCTCCAGCAATACCCTCGCAGATACACCTGTGAGGCCCAATCTTTCTCCTCAAATACCAGGCCACTGAGGTTTCCCTTGCAGCAGAAGAGGGCCAGACTCAGGGCCAACTGGCAGCACTGAGAGCGAATGTTTGTCCAGCTGTCTGGGTATCCCATGTCTAGTCACACAGACACTCAAGATCAGCCATCGCACACAGAAAAGTCCATGCTCTTCAGGATCTGGGCAAACGTTGGGCCCTTAGCTCCATTCCTCCCTTCATTTATCTGATTGACTTCACTTGTGTGCAATTCTACAGCTCTCTGCCTTCATGTGCAGTTTTCTTTACTCCAAAACTCCCTTTCATTAATTAAGAAGTTCATCTGTTTTCAAGCCCTTCCATGACCCTCTGAGCTGGAGAAGGGTCCCTTGCTCTTGCTCAAAGAAGAACCTTCAATTTAATATATTTTTCATTTTAATTCTTGATTGCATTTTTACTCTTTTCTCCCCGACTGTAGCCTTTTTCCTGGATGCAGATCACATCTTATTTTACAACTATATAGCCCAACATAGTGTCTAGCATATGGTTGGAGCTTAATAAAACTTTTTTGAATTAATGAATTTCAGGTCATTTATGGATGGCACTTGCATATACAAGAGAAAAGGAGCCGGCGCCGTAGCTCACTAGGCTAATCCTCCGCTTTGCGGCGCCGGCACACCGGGTTCTAGTCCCGGTTGGGGCGCCGGATTCTGTCCCGGTTGCCCCTCTTCCAGGCCAGCTCTCTGCTGTGGCCAGGGAGTGCAGTGGAGGATGGCCCAAGTCCTTGGGCCCTGCACCCCACGGGAGACCAGGACAAGTACCTGGCTCCTGCCATCAGATCAGCACCGTGCGCCGGCCGCAGCGCACTGGCCGCGGCAGCCATTGGAGGGTGAACCAACGGCAAAGGAAGACCTTTCTCTCTGTCTCTCTCTCTCTCACTGTCCACTCTGCCTGTCAAAAAAAAAAAAAAAAGAAAAAAAGAGAAAAGGGAAAGACCAAATATTTATCTCTAGAGATGGAGAGAAGACTCGTTTTTCTGGGAGATGCTGTAGTTTACCTCCAAATGTATATTAGTCAACACGATAAAGACTGTAGAACTCCCAAATTTACATTTCACAGCCTTCCTTTCAGGGTTTTTTGTTATTGTTGTTCTGGTATCTTTATAAGCTATGTTGAATGAACTATATACAGAAATAATGTAAGAACTTTTTAGTGTGTCCTGGAAAATTGTCCCAAGGATAACCCTCCATTCTCATTGTCTTCCTCCTATTTGCTGTTGGAGAAAGTTAACTTTGATATGTCAACATGGTGGTGCCCCAGATGGCCACTGAGTCACTGCAGGGAAGAGAGCTACTAACTTAGAAACATCCACACAGGATGATAAGTAGCTGAGATTTGGAGGTTATTTTTTGTGGCACCTTCTGTCATTTATCATGACTAAGATAATCACATAGGAATTTTATTTTAGTCCATATTGGTTTTTTTTGTTTGTTTGTTTGTTTTTTTTTTTTTTTTTTTGACAGGCAGAGTGGACAGTGAGAGAGAGAGACAGAGAGAGAAAGGTCTTCCTTTGCCGTTGGTTCACCCTCCAATGGCCGCCGCTGCAGCCGGCGCACCGCGCTGATCCGATGGCAGGAGCCAGGATCCAGGTGCTTTTCCTGGTCTCCCATGGGGTGCAGGGCCCAAGCACTTGGGCCATCCTCCACTGCACTCCCTGGCCACAGCAGAGAGCTGGCCTGGAAGAGGGGCAACCGGGACAGAATCCGGCGCCCCAACCGGGACTAGAACCCGGTGTGCCGGCGCCGCAAGGTGGAGGATTAGCCTATTGAGCCACGGCGCCGGCTTATTTTAGTCCATATTGTTTTAACACAAGATTCTAAAGAAACTGGAAAATGAAGCTTTTAAGGCCCGAAGAAATAATCATCTGATTATGTCACACTGATTAAATCTCACTCTACTGGGTTCACAAAAGATGAACTGGAAGCTGCAGAGAAAGGTATTTCAGAGTAAAGCAGAAGGCATGCATAACAGAAGAAAATGTGCACATGGCACCAGAAATACACCTGTAGAGGAGGTTTGGGTGAGTTTCTTTACTCTTAGCACCTGTGTATACATAGAGTCAGCAGAAATGAAGTTTGCAGGGGCTGGCACCATGGCACACTAGGTTGGTCCTCCGCCTGCAGTGCCGGCATACCATATGGGCACCAGGTTCTAGTCCTGGGTGCTCCTCTTCCAGTCCAGTTCTCTGCGGTGGCCCAGGAAGGCAGTGAAGGATGACCCAAGTCCTTGGGCCCTGCACCCACATGGGAGACTGGGAAGAAGCACCTGGTTCCTGGCTTTGGATCGGCATAGTTCCGGCCATTGTGGCCATTTACGGGGTGAACCAATGGAAGGAAGACCTTTCTCTCTCTCTCTCTCTCTCTCTCTCTCTCTCACTGTCTGTAATTCTACCTGTCAAATAAAAAATCTTAAAAAAAAAAAAAAAGAAATGAAGTTTGCTTGGTCCATATAGTGAGCAGTGAGGAAGAAAAAAAATTAAAGTTGCAATCTAAATGAATTCTGGGATTTTTGAGGGGGTGAAGTTAAGTAGATGTGGCAGGAAAGGGGGGTTCTCCTTCTGAGATTGGGCCCCTCTTCCTCCCATTAACTTGCTCCTTTTCTATTCCTCTTTTCTTCCCTGCAGGCAATGGTCTTTCTGCCACTAAAGTCATGCTCTGTTTGTTGTTAGAGAAGCAACCAAAGTGTAATTCTAGAGGTTTGGATGCTAGTCAACAAGAAAGTGGAGAAAACCAGTCAGTACTCTCATATGAACAAAACAACCTAAGGCCGGTCTCCTTAGGTATCATTACTCAAGGGATGACGTTCCTAAGAAACTGTAGAGGACATTCAATTCAGATCTATTTTACTTGGGATCTTAAAATAGAACATGGAAAAAAGGATAATGCAAAGCTGAATGGATACTGTAAAGAACTTAGGAATTACTGGGTATGATGAGACTCACAGCTCAGTAGCAATAGAGCCCCAAACAGATACAACAATCAGGTCTCTAGAGTTCAGTTTCAAAGGTCAACGCAGAGGACATCTCTTGGGGCAACCTCCCTGTTCTCTGTAATTCTCTTATTGAGGAACAGCTTTGCGAGCAGCCATGTAAATACACAACTCAGATCTCCTGCTGTGCAATTGATTGATAGCTTCAGCTGCTATCTGAGTCCACCTCAACATTCATACCAAGGCCACCCTTCCCTGGGCTGAATGACAGATACTAAAAGCAGGCTCATTCTTGCAAGGTTGCAAGAATTTTCTTAGGTGCGACTTTGGCACATGGATCCTCATTGACTTGACCATAACTTTCTTCATGTTGCAGTGCTGGATTCTGGCAGTCCAATGCTGCTTCACCTTTGTTTTCCTCACAGGGGATAGAGCTGTTTCATGGTGTCTTCTACTCCTCCCCTTTATCCTTCACAGACCATTTCCCCAGTGAATCTCTTGAGAGTCTAATGCTGTCTTAGCACCTGCCTCTGATAAAACCTTGTATCTACCTTTAGGATTCCAAGAACTGACTCTGTATTTTGGATCTTGCCATCATTTCTATAGGAATGGATAACTGGCCAAAGTGGGACCACTGGATACTCAGTCCCCGGAATTTAGGGGTGCGGAAGACAGAGACACGAGGTTAGGGATCCATGAAGCTCAGTAATATTCAAGAGCTCCTTAAAGAAAAAGTCCATGATCCTTCAATACAGCGGTCCCTGAAGCTTCCTCCACACCTTCTTCTGTAGTTCTGTTATTAACTGTTCCTGTGTATGTTTGTGGTCTCCCAGTTTCCTTCTACTGAATTCCCTTTTGTGTGAGCTAGCCATCGCTGATGTCCTACAACAAGAGAAGTTGGAAGTACTGTGGAGAGGCACAGCCCAGAGTCTTCCTGCATTTTCTGACCCATTTATGCATCAGGCCTCTGATGACATCTCTGTGGTATTGAGTTTTGCCCTCTGCATGAAGCTGACTTTATTTTTAAATCATGAAAATGTTTTAAGTGTAAAGATTTTAAACATAAATATAGAACTCCCTAAGTAAAATTAAAGAGAAAACATGACTCACAAAAAAGACATTTTAATAGTTAGGAGTTATGGGAAAGGATTTGTCAAGCATCCTTTGCTAAATCTCACACATAAAAGGAAGGTGCTCAGAGCTGCAGAGGGGGAATCTTGTCCTACATCAGGCACTAGTGAGGAAGATTGGAGAGTGAGGCTACCTGAAGCACTATGTTAATTTCTGTGCGCATCTTCGAGAAGAAATCTTAACCATTGGATGTTGAATTGCTAATAAAATAAAAAATACCTTAAGTATTGCAGGCAAAAACATAGCCTGCAAGGAGAAACAAAATGAAACAAAAAAATAAGAAAATTCCTTACCAATTACATTCTTTGAAAGTTTTATATCTGCCCACAGGTCTCTGCCAGCCTAAGTCGGCATATTTCTGAATTCCCCTCAGGCAGACACTCATAAGGACTGGACTCGTCCAAATGCGCATGGTAAAATGGCAATAACTTCCTTCACTTGTTATGGCTAAGCAGGAATGACAATCAGAACAATCACAATCAGAACACCAGTTCAAGAAACCATCTCAGAGATGCGTGGGACAGAAAAGACGCATGACCTGTGAAAGTCAGGATGTTGATACCTGATCTGTGTTATGAAAAAGGTTGCATTTCTTCACATGGTTTCCTGAATGATTCAGAAACAAACGCCGGTGGCAGAACTTTTAAAGGTAGTTTTTAAATGATCCAGAAATCTTTTTGTTTTTAATATGTTGCCACCTCTTTGACCAAACCTAATGGGGAAATTTTTTTTTTTTTTAATTATAAGCATGGCATATACCCAAAACCATGGAATCTTTGTCAAGTGTGAGGACATGGTCTAGCTTTTTCAAAAGAATGAGGCCAGAAGCTGAGCATATATTTGGCCTTTAGAGTTCCCTTGGGATTTCACAAATACGTCTTCAAACACCAGACAAGCACGTCACTCCTGCGTCCAAGAGGCAAAGTCCAAATCTATACATCCTTACATGAGCATGGAGCCTCAGAGTTCTCTGGGTAATTTCAAAAGCTTTCCGTTTGGTCTGGAAGGAGAGAGGAGGGCAGGTGATTAGTCATCATCTGCTTAATATCCAGTGACAGAAATAAAGAGCACAATTTTATTTCTGGCTTGACTTACTTCTGCCTTAATCTTTTTTGGAAGCAAAGGAAAGATGGCAGTCATGCAGTGGAGCATTCCTTCCTACAGACTCTCAGCAGAGACCAAAGCATACCAGCATACCATTCCTTCTGAGGCCCAGCGACACGTTCTCCTCCACGGAGGATCTGGAGCAAGGTGAGGAGCTGTGTGGTCTGTGTTCAGCTAGGATGCCAACCCAGACTACTGTGTACGACTCCTAAATTTATCTCCTACTGACGGTGCAAACCTAAGTCACAAAGGCTCACTTCTCCACCTGCTTCATTACAGAAAGTCCAAAATTCTGCCCAGTTCTCTTCCCAGTGCATTCTGGAAACCTCCAGAGAAAACTTCTGCGTTTCACAAATCCAGCCTGGTTTATATGTGCCATTTTCGTCTGGACCACTGACTGGTTTTGTCTTCCCTAGGGGTGCCTGTCACCTTTAACAGCTCATCTCTTCCTGCCTGGTAAGCTCCGTGGGTCTCTCCTCCTGATATTCTAATAACAACTGCCTCAAGAAAAACACATAAAGTTTCCCAAGGATAAGCAATAATTTATAACCCATTTAAAGGGCATTGAGAAGGTTTTAGCCCAGTAGTTAAAATGCCAATTAGGATGCCAATTAAGACACCTGCAACTCATATCAGAGGATCTGGGTTTAAAGTCCTGACTCTGGCTGCAGATTCCAGGTTCTTGATAACACTGACCCTGGGAGACGGTGGTGATTACTCAAGTAGTTGGGTCCCTGCTACCCATGTGGGAGACCTGGATAGAGTTCCTATCTCCTGGCCTTGGCTCCAGCTCTGCTGTTGCAGGCATTTGGGGAGTGAACAAGTAGACAGGAGCTTGCTCGTTCTCACTTTCTCTCTCTTTCTCTCTCTTAAAAATAAAATGGAAGATGCCTAAACCCAAATTAAGAACAAGGTTTGTATACACACAGCAGCAAATAAACTAGGGTTTAAGTGCTCCTTTTCAGCCAGGTGATCTAATTTACTTAGTTCTTACTGCAACTCTAAGTCACATACTCTTATCAACGCAATTTACAGAAGAAAAATTGGAGGCACAAAAACTCTTTAAAAATACATATAGTATTGAAGTCATAACAGTTTGAGGTGGAGCTGGAATTTTTAATCCAGGCACTCTGGTTTAAAAAGCTTGGCCTCTTCATCACAGTGCTATATTTTCTCTCTACCTTCAATCAACTAACCATTACCTGCAAATATGCACTTGTGTCCACTGTTAAAATAACATTCTGCATTATCTGTTCAAGCCTGGAGTTTAAGACTTTCCATTCCAGAAAGAGTCTTTACTCTCTGTCCCACAAGGATGATTTGCCTCAAAGATCAGTGCTCCAGCTCTTGAAATGTAAGCTCTTCTGCTTAGAATTCTTATTTATAACTTAGATTCAGGAACTCCATCCAAGACTCCTATGTAGGAGCAGGGACCCAAGTACTGGAGTCATCTCCACTGCCTCCCATGGCACTCATCATCAGGAAACCAGGTCAGAGTGGATCTGGGATGCCAATTCAGCACGCCAATACAGGATGTGGCCATTCTAAGTGGGTTCTTAACCACTGTGCCATGCACCTGTTTCTAGAATATAAATTCCACCATAACATATCCTTTTGTCTGTTCTGTTCACTATTGTATCCTCAACATCTTGGAATAGTGCTTGTAGGCACTAACACATGTCGGAAGGAAAAAAAGAGGAATGGAGGGAGGGAAGAAAGAGGGAGTGGGAAAATCTTCTTGTTCCCATCTCAGTCTTTTTTTCTTAGACTTATTTTATTAATTTGAAAGATAGAGTTACAGAGAGAAAGGTAGAGACAGAGAGAGGGAGAGGGAGAGGTCTTCCATCCACTGGCTCACTTCCCAGATGGCCGCAATGGCTGGAGATGAGCCGATCTGAAACAAGGAGCCAGGAGCTTCTTCTGGGTCTCCCACATGGGTGCAGGGGCCCAAGCACTTGGGCCATCCTCTGCTGCTTACCCAGGTGCATTAGCAGAGAGCTGGATCAGAAGTGGAGCAGCTGGGACTTGAGCCAGTGCTCATATAGGATGCTGCCACTGCAGGCCCAGGCATTAATCCACTGAGCCACAGCACTGCCCCCTCCTTCCTACATCTCAGTATTTCCCAGCACCTGTCAATCTGCTTCCAACACAACTACCTGAAATGGTCATGTTGGTAATAATTTTAAAAGAATAGTTCAAATTCCTGCTGTACCCATAAATACTTACCATGAAGAAGGGTTTTACCTTCTACCCTTCAACCAGCCTCACCAGCCTCATTTCTGACCACTTTCCCATTAGTAGCCTGTGCTGTACCCAGCATTTCCCAAGTAGACATGCCAGAAACAAATGGTCCTGTGGGCACTCATCATGCTCTATCTACATTTCTCTCTCTCTCTCTTTTTTTTTTTTTTTTTTTTTTTTTTTTTTTGACAGGCAGAGTGGACAGTGAGAGAGAGAGACAGAGAGAAAGGTCTTCCTTTTCCGTTGGTTCACCCTCCAATGGCCGCTGCAGCCGGCGCACTGCGCTGATCCGATGGCAGGAGCCAGGTACTTCTCCTGGTCTCCCATGGGGTGCAGTGCCATCCTCCACTGCACTCCCTGGCCACAGCAGAGAGCTGGCCTGGAAGAGGGGCAACCGGGACAGAATCCGGTGCCCCGACCGGGACTAGAACCCGGTGTGCCTGCGCCGAAAGGTGGAGGATTAGCCTAGTGAGCCACGGAGCCGGCCCTATCTACATTTCAAAGAATCACAAAGGACATTGGCATTAAGAAAGTCAGGTAGTTAGTAAGCCAAACCTTAAACATATTTAAATAAGTGTTTCAGGCTGTTTAAATTTCTCAAACATTTTGTCCATGAGCCCCCTTTTCCAAGGAATGGCGATGAGTAGGATCTCATGGAATGGAGTTTGGGAAATATCACTTGATAAAACTATTAGCAGTTTTCTAAACACTGCTCATCTCCAAGGATTTACTTATACAGTTCCTGCGTCTAGGATTCCTCCTTTGATGTCTGAAGAATTTCGACAATTTCTATTAGCCCAGCCTATAAGGCTTAAATGCAAGGCTACTTCCTCTCTGAAAACTCATCTCTGAGAAAAATAATCATTTTCTCCTCTGGGCCTGCAGCTGTCTTGTTTTCCCATCTTTATCTTTTAATTGACATGTAATATTTGTACTTACTCATGGGGTACAGGATTCTAATTTGATAGAGAATGTGTGAGAATCAAATGAGGGTAAGTAGCATTTCCATCTCCTCAAACCTCATCATCTCCACGTGTTGGAATCCTTCAAACTCTTCTAGTTATTTTCAAATGTGTAATTAATTGTACACTGTAATTATCCCACTGTGCTATCAAACATTGGAACTATCTCCCCTAACAATATTTTGGTACCGATTATCTGCCCTCTTTCTATCCATCCCTTCCGCACCACTCTTCCTAGTCTCGAGTGACCTCTGGTCTACTTACTACTTCTATGGGAGGAACTTTTTTAGCTCCCACAAATGGTTGAGAATATGTGGTTTTATCCTTCTGTGCCTGATTTATTTCACTGAACATAATGTCCTTTAATTCCATCCCAGGATTTATTTCTTTTTTATAGCATAATCATATCTCATTGTGTATATACACCACTTTTTTCTATCCATTCCTCTGTCATGGGCATGTTGATTGATTTCATATCTGGGAATGCTGCTGAAATAAAGATGGAGGTGCAGCTATCTCTTTGATAGAATGGCTTCATTTTCTTTTGATATGGGATTGCTAGGGTATATGATAGTTTTATTTTCAGTTTTTTGGGGAAACTTCCACACTGTTTTCCACAATGGCCCTCCTAAGCTATGTCCCTTTGAACAATGTATGAGTTCATTTTTTTGACTTTTCAATAATAGCCATTCTTTTTTAAAAAAAGAAATTTATTTATCTGAAAGGTAGAGTGACAGAGAGGAGTTGGGAGGGAGAAGGGGAGAGGAAGAACAAGAGTAGAACCAGTACCCCGACATGGCCTGCTGGCATTGCAAGCAGTGGCTTAACCCACTGCATAACAACATGGGCCCCTGATAATAGCCACTCTAACTGGAGTAAGATAATATTGAGATTTTAATTTGTCTTTCTGTGATGATTAGTGATGTTCACTATTTTTTCACATACTTTTTGGTCATTTATGTTTTTTTTTTTTTAAAGATTTATTTATTTATTTGAAAGTCAGAGTTACTTAGAGAGAGGAGAGGCAGAGAGAGAGAGAATTCTTCCATCCAATGGTTCACTCAATTGGCTGCAACAGTCAGAGCTATGCTGATCTGAAGCCAGGAGCCAGGAGCTTCCTCCTGGCCTCCCACATGGGTACAGGGGCCCAAGGGCTTGGACCATCTTCCACTGCTTTCCCGGACCATAGCAGAGAGCTGGATAAGAAGTGGAGCAGCCAGGTCTCAAACTGGCACCCATATGGGATGCCAGCACTTCAAGCCAGGGCGTTAACCTGCTGCACCACAGCACCGGCCCCTATGTCTCTTCTTTTAAGAAATGTCCCTTCATATCATCTGCCAATGTCTCCATCAGACTTTTTTGCCTGTTGAGTTGTTTGAGTTCCTTATGTGTTTTAGATAGTAACATGTTTTCATATGTATAGTTTGCTGTATTTTCTCCCATTCTCTTGGTTTTCTCTTCACTCGGTTGACTGTTTTCTTTACCGTACAGAAGCTTCTTATTTTGATATAGCCCTATTAGTCTAGTTTTGTTTTTGTTTTTTTTTGTTTGTTTGTTTGTTTGTTTTGCTTGTGCTTTTGAGATCTTATTTCCAAAAACATCATTACCTATGCAAATATTTTGGAGTGATTTCTCTGTGTTTTCTTATAGTGGTTTATAGTTTGTATTTTGTGTAGTCCCCTCTATCACAACA